GGTCCGATCGCAGGCCTCCGCTCCTTGAGTTCTCTCCAGCGCTGGAAAGCTGATCCGATATTTACACGGGTCCTACTTCTTGCCTTATCGTTCTGCAGACGTTTTCCTCTTTTGTTTTTTATCCGCCATCTCTATCTTTCTGTCGCTCGGCTCGGCTAATGTCCGTCCCGTGCACTGAAAGCTCTCTCCTCCACATCACGAGTAGACACGCCCCTTATTGCTGATTGGCTACAAGTTTGTTTTGCTATTCGGCCCGAATCAGTTTTCTAAAGTGTTTTTGAAAAATTACATACCCTACCTTTAATTGAATTATAATCGCACAGGGCAAATTCCCTCAGAGTTTTTTTTTTTTAATTCTTTAAAGTAACTGAACTGTTGGTTTGATGCTGTGTTAAATATTAATATTGTATTTCAAGGTTAATAAGATATATATTTTTTTACTTTTTAAGGCAAGAAATGACAGGTGAATAGGGTAAATATTTTGATTAATTAATATCTTTATACTTTTCTTGGTTTATTAATCACAGTGCATTAAGACAATTGTTTTGTACAAATTTTCTGATGACGTGTGCTTATGCAAATTATGCATTATCTAATTAAATATTACAGTAATCAAAATTCATGTTTTATTTTGTTGAAACATTATATTTAAAGGTTTTTAGGATTTTGTATTTCTTTTTTTAATCATTTAAATTTAAATCAGAATATACTGACAACATATATACAAAAAACATTTTTTTTAGTAATAAAATGTTAAATAAATCAGGCAAGTGATATATGAACAAACTCCTCTGTAAAAACCTTCAGAATATAGATAAATAAAACTATAAAGTTTGTTGTATGTAAGTGCTAAAACAAATTTTGAGAAAACAGCCTTTACATGTATGTATTGTAATTGAAATCTACAGGTGCAAATAGATCAACTGTAATAAAATAAACACTTAGATGTGTATTTTGGACGAATAGAGTCAAATTAGAAACAAAGTAGCCCAAAATCAACCCTAAATTTGAGGAATAATATGAAGATTATGTTTAATATGATACTATTAAATTCATATGAATTATTAAATTCACATGAATTAGTTAAATGTTACATAATTGAAATCATAGAATTCCTAAGTCCGCTTAACAACATTTTTATCATAATAATGTTGGCTTTCATGTGAACCGTAATCAAATTGTGTGCATTAAAACAATGAAACGGCTGACCTGATCCCAGCAGGCCTGAAAAGAACTCATCATGTAACTGGCCAGAAATAGACTTTTTAACGGAAATAATAAAACGTCTGTTGAGACGCTGGGGGGGAGGTTTACAGCATTGTTTTTCTAGCCCGGGGATGTGAGGGCTAGAGGATTTCCTTACTCACCGTAAGGAAATCCTCGGGAAGGACGCTTTGCCTTGAAGACAGAAACCTCCCACACCTAAAGGTCAACGCGTGTCAAACCTCTTCCCAGACAGGACCTTCTGCATTTTTCCCCAGATCAGGCGGATTATATTTAGTCATGCGGTTCAGCTTTTCCTGTGAACCGTTAGGTAAGACTACTTTCGTTGGCTGGTCAGGGAGATTCCTTCATGTTCCCAATCTAAACTATTTCATTAGTCCTGTTTGTTTACACTGGTTTCACTTTCAGTGCTGCTTGGAAAGGGGACTTTTATAGGCCTGTCAAACAGTTCAGTGCCAACCAAATGCCATGTGACTAACCGCTCTGGAGCCGCAGGAAAAGTGACGTCATGGTTGGCTGATGGCAGCACAAGAACGCACACAGTCCCGAATCTTTCACTAGTCACTATCCTGAAGCATCAAAGACAGCAGACATGGAAAATGTCATGGTTTAAGAGCCCTCCAAAAAACTAGTAAAACATCTATTATAATATATTATGTATTCTCAGTGGTTGCTTACTAGGCCAAGTGAAAAGTATATGTGATGTTTTGTTCAAAAGATTGGTGTCAATAAGTTTTTTTTTCTCTCAAATTATTCAGGAAGGGTGCATTAAATTAATCAAAAGTGACAGTAAAGACATTTATAATGTTGCAAACGATTTCAATATCACATAATTGCTGTTCTTTTGAACTTTATATTCATTAAAAGAATTCTGAAAAAATGTATCCACAAACATATAAAGCAGCACAACTGTTTTCAACATCACAATACGTGTTCTTTGATAAGCAAATCAGCATATTAGAATGATTTCTGAAGGACCATGTGACACTGAGACTGGATTAATGATGCTGAAAATTCAGCTTTGCATCACAGGAATAAATTATATTTTAAAATCTATTCAAATGGAAAACAGTTATTTGAAATTGCAATAATATTTCACAATATTACTGTTTAATGTAATTTTGGTCAAATACGTGCAGCCTACGTGAGCATAAAAGATTTCAAAAACATTTAGAAACCATACCAACTCCAAACTTTTGAACCGTAGTGTACCTTATTTAGTCTTTGACTTGACCTAACCGAACAGGGAAAAAAAACTATAAAAAGTAGATAAGATATTCTTAGCTCCAAGCTGAGACCTGAAGCGACTCCAACCTCAGATGGTGGTCTGGTTCTCATGATTGATCTTGCCAAAGGCCGTTATTGGTTGTAGTTGTGGTCAACGGCGCTGTCATGTGTGACATGTTATTTTTGTTGCTGTCTAAAAATTTTTTATTTTTCCTAGTCAGTCATTTCCTGGACGTGTCAGTCATTCAGCATGAGCAGAGGAGGTTAAAGCGTAAGATAATATTTCGACTAATTCCTCAAAAGTCTTCAATGTTTTTCGTAAGACTTGAAGAATGTACATTATGTAACAGTTGACCGCTGTTTTCTCAGGCCTCCAGGCCTCCTGTCCCTCACACAATACCCGGTCAAGTCTAGCAGAAAACACACTTTTGTGCTGGATAATTATGTACATAGACATAGATTTCCTGACTAAAGCATTCTTTATTCTAGCAGTATGAGTGGTGTGAGTATGAAGTCAATTACACTAGATCGTAGGATGAAAAAAGGAAATAAAATGTATATTTCCTTTTTCATATAAAACATATTTAAATAATATATAAAATGATTAGTTGTTTGAAAAATATTACATTTGGAAATGTTTGGAAAGGATTTTAGAAAGCAAATTTTTTTTTAGTAATGACATTGATGTTTTATGATTACTGAGGGCTTATTCCCTCCAACCAGAATTTAGGTTAACCTCCAAAGCTCAGCTCTTTCCAACAGGAAGGCACATTTCCTTTGACCCAGCTAGAATAAATTTCCAGTGGACCAAAGCCATTGACATTCGCATGGGCCATTACTCTCAGTAAGTGCTGGAGCTCCAGCGCCTGTCGGATGGATGGGGGCCAGATTTTGGCTTGACCTCTCAGGGAACATGGGGTTACCATGGGACATTGGGAGTGCCTGTGTTTACTGACGGGTAACAATCCACTGAACTTCTGGTGTTTTGGAGCAGGTAGAGCACCACTAGGACAGAGATGTTCAGGAAATTATGTGCTGAATACTGAAGAAAAGAATAAGAATTACTGAGCTTTGGAATGTTTTGCCATAACGTAAATGAACCGATTATGGTTTGATATGCCGTTATGTGTAGATACAGCTTAAAGTTGTCTAATTAAAATGAATGAATGTCTGTTAATTGATGTGCCTGTCACAGCTGATGCAATCTGTTATATAAGAGACTCGTGTGAAACTCAGTCATACTGTCAGTGTCGTTTCTCCGTGTCTCTTGGGGTCACGGTCCCTGGAGCAAACTCTACAGTTTCTGCTCAACCAAATATTTTTTCACATTTTCTGAGCATTACACATGCTTAAAGATGGATGATATGACCAACATATTTTTATTATATTGTTATTTTATTCATTAATATTTAACTAATCTGACTCCGTTGTGGTATGCAATGCAGAGTTTTCACGATCCAGTCCATTTCAAATACACAAAACCATAATTTACCCTCATTGATTATCTTTTTCAACTGGAAATAAGTCACGCTATGGAAGTGGTGTGGGATTTAAATAACCGTGTGAAGCATAAATGCCTATTTGTAGATAATCCTGTGAATTCAGCCACTGCTTTATTCCGCTTAAGTGTGCAGGTTTTGTTTTACAGGTTCACATGTTGCTGATTCTTTTGGAAACTAATGATGCTTAAAAAATGTTTAGGCATTTGTCACTTTTTGTGTAATTTCTCACTGAAAATACTTTTATTTAATTGCAATTTTCCACTCTATAAATAAGTGGTTTTCACAAAATGTAGATATACGCATATTTTGTTTACTACTTGTACTGATGCGCGCGTGACGCTTCCGGTGATATTAACGTCTGCCGTCTCACCAATGAGGACATAAATACATGAACAACATCTCCAGAGAACTGCTCTGAAGAGAGTCACTTCATGAGCATTTGACCGTTTCATTTGAGTAAAACTATCCTCATGTCATATACACACAGAAATGTAAAGGTATTTACGGCAACCCATCAAAATAAAAGTTTGTTTTAACTCAAAGACATTATGGCAGAAATATATTACTATTGTTGTGTAGAATGTATGATGTAATAGGCTACTACTACTAAAATTATTAAAACCTTATTTTTAAGGAATAATCATACAATATTTCTTCAATGTTTTAATTGTAATATTAAATCCCCTTTATTTTTCAAAAAATAAAATGTTTAATTTTCATTAATTAAAAGATAAATTGAATGTTTTATGCCTTAAAAAATGCAAATGCACAACACAGAATTTCTGAGGGAAAAAAATCATAAGGCTATTATAAGAATAAATGAAACTTGTTTTTATGCTTTCAAATAATTAGACAAAAGTACCTTTCTCCCTAGCCTGGCACAAATGGCTCGATTAGTTCCGGGTTTGATGAAGGTCCGCAGTTTATACAGTTTGAGGGAATATTGGGGAAAGTCAAAATTTTATGCCTCTCCATAAATGTGTTCATCATATTATACTGTAGTTGTCCAGAGGTTCAATACTGATGATAAATTGCTTTATTTTCCAGGATGGTTCCAGGCGTTGCAAGGAAAGGAAAAAGACGGTGTCGTTCAGTAGCATGCCAACAGAGAAGAAGATCAGCAGTGCAAGCGACTGTATTAATTCTATGGTGGACGGGTCTGAACTGAGGAAAGTACGCTCCAACTCCAGAGTCTACCACCGATATTTCCTCCTAGATGCCGACATGCAGTCTTTGCGATGGGAGCCATCCAAAAAAGAGTCGGACAAGGCCAAGATTGATGTAAAATCGATTAAAGAGGTGCGAACCGGTAAAAACACGGACACCTTCAGGACCAATGGAATTTCGGATCAGATTTCCGAGGATTGTGCATTCTCTATAATCTATGGGGAGAGCTATGAATCACTTGATTTAGTGGCAAATTCAGCCGATGTAGCAAATATATGGGTGACTGGACTCAGGTACTTAATGTCGTATGGAAAACACACACTTAACATGATTCAGAGCAGTCAGGACAACATGCGTGCGTCCTGGCTGGGTGACCTCTTCGATGAAGTGGACGTCATTGGCGGAAAATGCATTAGTCTTTGTTCGGCCGTACAGCTGATCAAGAAGTTAAGTCCTGGACTGAAAAATGTCAAGATAGAGCTGAAGTTCAAAGAGTTGCACAAAGCGAAAGATAAAACCGGTTCCGACGTGACCAAGGAGGAGTTCATCGAAGTCTTTCACGACCTTTGCACAAGACCAGAAATCTATTTTTTGTTGGTCCAGTTCTCAAGCAACAAGGAATTTCTTGACACCAAGGACTTGATGATCTTTTTGGAGGCAGAGCAGGGCATGGCCAAGGTGAGCGAAGACATCAGTGTGGAAATTATTCAGAAGTATGAACCCTCGAAGGAGGGGCAACTCAAGGGATGGCTCTCCCTGGATGGGTTTACCAATTACCTCATGTCAGCAGACTGCCACATCTTTGATCCTGAACAAAAAATAGTATGCCAAGACATGAACCAACCCCTTTCTCACTATTACATAAACTCTTCCCACAATACCTACCTGATTGAGGACCAGTTCAGGGGTCCGTCAGACATTACAGGCTACATCCGTGCCCTAAAGATGGGCTGCAGGAGCGTGGAACTTGATGTGTGGGATGGGCCCGATAATGAACCAGTCATTTACACGGGCCATACGATGACCTCGCATATTGTCTTCCACAGCGTCATTGACATCATCAACAAGTATGCTTTCGTAGCCTCGGAATTTCCTTTGATCTTGTGCTTGGAGAACCACTGTTCCTTGAAGCAACAGAAGGTAATGTTTCAGCACCTGAAGAAAATACTCGGAGACAAAATTCACACGGATCCTCCCAACCTTGAGGACAACTACCTTCAGTCCCCTTCGTACCTAAAGGGAAAGATTCTTCTGAAAGGAAAGAAACTTGCGAGCAACTGCACCGGCTCTGAAGGCGAGGTGACGGATGAGGACGAGGGTGCGGAAATGTCTCAAAGGATGAACAACGAAGGTGGTGAGCAGCAGACGGTTGTTCAACCCAAAAAGTTCCAGCTCTCTAAGGATCTCTCGGACTTGGTAACCTTATGCAAGTCTGTTCGGTTTAAGGATTTCCAGACGGCTTTCCAGAACCAGAAGCACTGGGAGCTCTGCTCCTTCAATGAGGTCTTTGCCAGTCGGTGTGCCACTGACCACCCTGGCGAGTTTGTTAACTACAACAAGAAGTTTCTAGCGAGGGTTTACCCAAGTCCAATGCGAATTGATTCCAGCAACATGAACCCGCAGGACTTTTGGAAATGTGGCTGTCAAATAGTAGCAATGAACTATCAAACACCTGGTCTCATGATGGACCTCAACATTGGCTGGTTTAGACAAAACGGGAACTGTGGGTATGTTTTACGCCCAGCGATCATGAGGGAGCAGGTGTCTTATTTCAGTGCCAATACTAAAGACTCTGTTCCGGGAGTGTCTCCACAGCTCCTTCACATAAAGATCATTAGCGGACAAAATTTACCCAAACCCAAGGGCTCAGGCGCCAAAGGCGATGTGGTAGATCCCTACGTTTACGTTGAAATTCATGGCATCCCTGCGGATTGTGCAGAACAAAGGACTAAAACGATCCATCAGAATGGCGACAACCCCATCTTTGACGAGAGTTTCGAGTTTCAGATTAACCTTCCGGAACTGGCAATGGTGCGCTTTGTTGTTCTGGATGACGACTACATTGGGGACGAGTTTATCGGTCAGTACACAATTCCGTTTGAATGCATTCAGCCAGGTTTCCGCCACATTCCCCTCCAGTCGCTGACGGGCGAAGTCCTTCCACATGCCTGGGTCTTTGTCCATGTGGCCATTACTAACCGTCGTGGTGGTGGTAAACCTCACAAAAGGGGGCTTTCGGTCCGCAAGAGTAAAAGGGGTCGGGAGTACGCCACTATGAGGATACTTCTCATCAAGGCTGTAGATGAAGTCTTTAAATCTGCTGCACAGCCACTTCGGGAGGCCACTGATCTCAGAGAGAACATGCAGGTGAGATAACGCTTACCTCAATGAGAAACAAAAAGTCGTGACGTGATCTGTTTGAATGCAAAAATGAAGGTGAATACTGTAAAATCATTCCTAGTTGATATTTAATTTAATTTAAATTTAATTTAAAAAGTTGATATTTATTACCATCATTGAAAAAAACAAAAAAACCCTCTGAAAAAATCAGTTTTAGTTATAAAATTTTAATTTAAAATTAAGTTCTTAAAAACATCTTACCAGTCTTTGGTGTAATAAACAGAAAAAAAGGTTTTTGCATTATATTCTTTTTACATGGAAGCCTGTTTCTGCCACTAATTTTGACTTTTTGTCTCACAATTCTAACTTTTTTTTTTTCTGGCAATTGCGATTCTGACTTGATATAAACTCAGTTCCAACCTTTTCATCAGAATTGTGTGATATAAAGTCACAGTTGCGAGTAATAAAGTCAGAATTGCAAAATATAAACTCTCAATTCTGAATCTTTTCCTCAGAATTGTGAGTTTATATCACGCAATTCTGACAAAAAAAGTAAGAATTGCGTGTATATATATAAAAAGTTTAAATTTTTTTATTCAATGGTGGAAAAGGGATTTCCATAGTCTTATTTGTGGGGTGATTAGGGAAAATATAATATCCTATTTTTAGGTGATATATATTACCTGGACATGTTTTGTGAGATTCACCCCATTCAGTATCTGCAAAGTTATGCAAATGTCTCAACTCAGCAAATGTTTAGTTTGCAGCTTGCCAAGACAGCTTGCCCAACTTGATATTTATTACCATCATTGAAAAAAACAAAAAAAACTCTGAAAATCAGTTTTAGTTATAAAATTTTAATTTAAAATTAAGTTCTTAAAAACATCTTACCAGTCTTTGGTGTAATAAACAGAAAAAAAGGTTTTTGCATTATATTCTTTTTACATGGAAGCCTGTTTCTGCCACTAATTTTGACTTTTTGTCTCACAATTCTAACTTTTTTTTTTTCTGGCAATTGCGATTCTGACTTGATATAAACTCAGTTCCAACCTTTTCATCAGAATTGTGTGATATAAAGTCACAGTTGCGAGTAATAAAGTCAGAATTGCAAAATATAAACTCTCAATTCTGAATCTTTTCCTCAGAATTGTGAGTTTATATCACGCAATTCTGACAAAAAAAGTAAGAATTGCGTGTATATATATAAAAAGTTTAAATTTTTTTATTCAATGGTGGAAAAGGGATTTCCATAGTCTTATTTGTGGGGTGATTAGGGAAAATATAATATCCTATTTTTAGGTGATATATATTACCTGGACATGTTTTGTGAGATTCACCCCATTCAGTATCTGCAAAGTTATGCAAATGTCTCAACTCAGCAAATGTTTAGTTTGCAGCTTGCCAAGACAGCTTGCCCAACTGTATTTCAGTGTGGCGAAAGTTTTCTCAAATGAAACTTCAGAAAGTTGACCCTGAGAAGGAAACACAGCTTACAGGACATTTCTCTTCACAAGGCCAGGAGCATTTGAACTGAAATCTCTCTGGCACTGATAAAAAAAGTGCTGATTTTAATCAGCTGCAATTCCTTGAAGTTGCACAAGTTGTTGGACTGGCACAAAAAACGCCTTGGAGATCGACTGCAGACCCTTTTTTAGCCATGATAACTGAAAACATTCTCATATATAGGCTACAGGTAGGAAATCAGCCAAATTTCTTTTAATATTTGATGTGGAAAATGTTACATAACACAGGGTTAAGTATGTCCTGAGGCATGTGTCGGTTATATCCCCTCAAGAAGAGATTAGGTCGTCTCATGGATAAAAGGGGTTGGCACTACTATAACAAGAAAGCACTGAGAAGATTTTGAAGGAAGGAAACAGTTTTTTCTTCTTCATAAGATTATACCGCAGATGGTGTTTCAATTTGTTTTTCGTTCATTGGTTTTCTGTGACGCTTCTGCTGCATTCAATAGTAATAGTGGGTAAATGTGTGTCTGTTAAATATTGCTGTTGCTTGTGTTTTAAACTTCACAAGAAAAATGACGTCTTCCTCCCACATTCAGAGCAGGGCTTTTGTAGAAGACACACTTTACAAAAACCACTTCCTATCGCATTTCTTGTTCGTGGACGTTCACTATGGGGAAGTCGGCACATTGCTACCATTGGCTTGGTTCTTGTTTTCTCGTCACCACCCACAATTAGGTCACCGGTTATGATCAGAATAGCATGTTACTATAATGCTATTTCTGCTGCGTGCTATGTACATGCATACACAGTATATTAGGTGTAGCATGCAGTATGCATACAGTACAGTATCCCATAATGCAATGCGCTCAACATTTCCAGTGTACTATAAGTGATATTGTCAGCCTTGATTTTTTTTCTTGAATTATTAATTGATTGGACTGCAAGAGTTTAAATGTGCAAAATACTGTGTATTTTGAGATTATAACTAGAAAGCATTTGCTCAATTAAACATGCAACCTGATAAGCTAATGTGACTTTAAGGTTCAAACCAAAAAATTATTATATAAAATTGCATTTTAGCAAATTATATGCACAGCATGCAGTATGTTAGTATTCCATTCAGAACATAATAGTAGCCACTAGTCACTATTGTACTTTGTCATAGCATTTTTAAAATATGTTTGGTTAGGGCTGTATTTTTTGGGGAAAAATCAAGTTGTGACTTTTATGAAATAAATTTCAATGCGATTTAAATGTTTAAAAAGGAAAAAAAATGCATCCAGGTTTGTTGTGCTTCCTTTAGTTGCTGCACAATTTGGCCAACATTCTGTGATTATATATCAATGTGACTATAAAATAATAAAAATAATAATAATGAAAATGACTAAAATTTGAATTTGAGGAAAAACAATAAATTTTTAAAAATATTATTAAAAGTATATTATTATTATTACTATTGCTGCTACTACTACTACTAAATAAAAATATTAAAATTATTAAATAAAATAAAAAGATATTACTTTTGTAATATTTTACTGAAAAAGTCAAGTAAGAAAAATATATATTTTTTAATTACTACTGTACAATTATAGTATTTATATTCATGTTCCTAACAAACCATACATCAATGGAAAGCTTATTTATTCAGCTTTCAGATGATGTATAAATAATCAATTTCGAAAAAATTGACCCTTATTTTGTGGTCCAGGGTCACATATGTTTACATTTAGATACGAGAAGCAGAATGACTTTCAGAAAACAAGACTTAATATCAATCAAAACTAAGTGAGTTTATGCTTAAAAAAGAATAACACAATAATCTTGTGTAAGAAAAAAAAATCCCCTTGAATTAAGATTTTTTTTATTTTTTATTATAAATATTTAAATATTCAAAAATATTTAAAACCTTTTTTTTAAATGATGTTCTTCCTCAGTATTGTTTTGTTTTGATTTCCAGTACAAATATCGAAACATGCTTTTATGTTTACATTTATATGCATTTACTTAAAGCGAAAGGACTTACATCTTTCAGAAAAAAAGACTAAAAAACGGGCTCAGACAAGACTGATTTTTTTTCTTGTTTGAGAAGCTAATTTTGTTTGTTAAGATTAATTAAATAAGATAATTTTTTCTAACCCCTTTGGCAGATATTTTGTGTTGTTTTAATTTATACATTTTGATACATTTTCAGAAAACATCTTAATTCTTAAGTATTTTAAGAACAATATCCAAAGTATTTTTGATTCTCTCATGAATGTGTCTTGATTTAAGAATGTTTAGATATTTGTACTGGAAAACAAGACAAAAATACTAAGAAAACCATTTCTTTGGAAGGAAATTCGATTTAAAATGGCTTGGTAAATTTATTGGATGCTGAAAGTACAAAGTAGCCAAAATATTTAATAACCAAACATAACATTTACAAAAAATCTGCTGAGCTTTCTGAGAAATTCTGTATGCACACATTTAGTTTGCATGATTTTATGTAGCCTGAAGTGACACAATCTTATTATTTTTAATATTCTTCCTCAGTATTTTCTTCTTGTTGTCCAGTACAGATAACTAAACATTCTTATGTATTATTTACATTTAGATACATTTACTTGAAGCAAAATGACTTCTTTCAGAAAAAAAGACCAATGTCTTTATGTCAAAGTTAAATGGGATTTTGCTTAAAACAAGAAAAAAAAATCTGACAATGGGATCAGACAAAGAATATTTTTGTTTGTTTGTTTCAGAAGGTCGTTTTGTTTAAGATTATTTTTCTAACCCCTTTGGCAGATATTTTGTTGTTTTAAGCAAAAACTCACTTCATTTTGATACATTTTTCAGAAAATATCTTAAGTATTTTTGATTCTCTCATAAATGCGTCTTGATTTAAGAATGTTTAGATATTTATACTAGAAAACAAGGCAAAAAAAAAATACTAAGTAAGAAAACCATTTTACAATGAATTTGTGAAAAATTAGATTGTAAATGGCTTAGAAAACTTATTGTTGCTGAAATGTTTGATAACCAAAAACAAACAAGTCCATGTCCATGAGCTTTCTGGGAAATTCTGCAGGCACACACTTAGTTTGCATGATTTTATGTAGCCTGAAGTGAAATAAAGTCTTTTTGGATGCATGGTTTCTCAGATTTGATGAGTTGTGATGATGCAACCATGAATAAAGCAGGTCTGTATCCATGGGTCATGATAATGAGTCGCAACAGTTTTTGTTTTTGCTTATGTTTGAATAATTCACCATCACAAATTATAAATCCAAACTCCAGGGAAAACTGCCCAGAGAATAGCCGTGTTTTGCAGTTTGATGAGCAGGAACGGAATGAAAGTCTCCAAGCTCTCGTTTCAGGAAGAACGCAACAGATCCACATGAGACCAAATTCCTCATATGTGACCCTGGACCACAAAACCCAGTCTTAAGTGTCAATTTTTCAAAATTGAGATATATACATCATCTGAAAGCTGAATAAATAAGCTTTCCATTGATATATGGTTTGTTAGTTTGTTTGTCGAGATACAACTATTTGAAAATCTGGAATCTGAGGGTGCAAAAAAAT